CCTATAATTCATCCTCATTTCTTCATAATGTAGTTTTCAAGTGGCTAAAATCTGCATCACTTAGTAACTTCATCTCGTTTTAGGAGGGCTCAGCGAACGATTCAAAGACTTCGGTAGATACGAACTGAATTTCCGTTTTATTTCCTACTTCTACACCAGCGAGATACCCTTCACTGAAATCTTTGGATCAGTTAGCGGTTCTAGGGAATAGATTTTTCCAAGGGCGTAATCTGTTTCTCTTTCCAGTAAAGCGCCTAAATATCGCATGAGAAGATAAGTCACTCTATGACACTGCATGCTCACGAACGGATTTGTTTTAATTTTCTTTGAGAAACTGAAACTCATTGAATACTGGCGATACAAAGTCGCTGATTTCCAAAGATTATGAACCACTTATTTCAAGTCGATACCGTAAATTCTAACACTTTCAGCTCTTTACTGAAAGTAATCGACCCGGCCCAATTTTTCAAGTTCAGATATAGCTTCTCGTTCGTAGTGACTCATAATGAATCCAGATTCAGTTATCTAGTCATTGCTTAACTTGTGTTAGTAAAAATAATGTTCCCCTAATTTAGATAAAATATCAGCAAAGGATGGTAATGGAAAACCAAACGCCAGAAGCCATGATCATTTCCGTGAGCATAGCCTTACCTGTTGCCGTGTTCCCACTAAACTCAGATCGCGTTCAGAAAGTCATTGAGTTGTGCAGCGAATGCTTGATTTTGCTAAGTAACATCAACCAAAACAGCAAAGACCAACCTAATTCACCTCATTACAGCGCCACCTATAAAGTTCTTTTCTGCGCTTATCGTCGTATCTCTGACTACATAAATGCGGAAAGATACGGCAGGAATCTACTTGTCCCATGCATTGAGTCTTGTGCCTTACTAGAAGAAGGAGATATAAGCATGGCTCTAGCAGAGATAGTTAAGAGTCAAAAGAGGTTTAGAGAAGCCAAACACCTTTATGAAAGAACAATAGAAATAAATAGACAAATTGGTGAAAAGGTTGGAGAAGCAAACACGCCTGTGCAAGATTGGGAAGTACCTTTTATAAACTTGGCGACAATCTAACAGCTAAAGACTGCGTTAAAAGAGCCCTTGCCATAAAAATTAAAATTGGCGACAAAAGAGAGGAGAGACATACTGTTACAGAAAGCTAGGAGCGGTGTTTACGTCGCTCGGGGAATACACCAAGGCAAAAGAGTATCTCGAAAAAGCGCTTCTCGTCGGAACTGAAATTGACGACAGAAAAGGAGACGTAGACTTTTATGAAAAGCTAGTTGAAGTGTTTGAGTCTCCCGAGCAATACGACAAGGCTAAAGAGTATCTCGAAAAAGCGCTTGTCATCAGAACTGAAATTGGCGACAGAAAAGGAGAGGCAGCCGTCTACGGAAACCTAGGTATTGTGTTTCTGTCGCTCGGGAAATACCACAAGGCTAAAGAGTATCTCGAAAAAGCTCTTGTCATCAGAACTAAAATTGGCGACAGAGAAGGAGAGGCAGCCGCATACGGAAACCTACACTAAATACATAAACAAACAGGATGAACGGATCGTAATTAAGAAAAAAAATCCCAAAATCAGCTCGTAAAATCAATTTACGAGTTTTTGAGCTGAGATTCCCTTAGAACGAATTCGCTTGAGTAGCAGCGTTGGAACTAATGCGAGGTTCAGGTTTACTTTTCCATTAATTCCAGTCTTTTGCTTTTCACCGAAATCAAGTGATCATTGATGTAAGTTGTGGAGACAAACACACAGTGTCCTTAGCAAGTGAGTAAGTCGATTTTCCCACTCGCCATAGCTTCTACTGTTTTCCTACAGATCAGTCCCTTGTGAGCTGGACATGGATGGCAAGCGAGTCCATTACGTGGAGTGTGGTCATCAAGACCGGAAAAACAAACTTATAACTGGTTCCAATCCGAGATTTTCCGTGAGTGAATATCAAATACCCTGCAAGTAACAATCCAAACTGGGGTC